CATCCTCACAATCTGCTATGAAAACCAAAGATGTCGGGCAGGAGAACAAGCAAACCGCGTCAGACATCCCCACAAACTGGCCGCGAACGGGCCCGTGAAAACACCCTTGGCGGGGCTCCCCTTAGGGGTACTGAAACCAGCGCCCCGCCTGAGACGTCCTTACAATCTGCTCTGAAAAGCCAAGGATGTTGGGCGTGAGAACGAGCAAGCCGGTTGAGACATCCCCACAAATTGGCCGCGAACGGGCTCGTGAAAGCACCCCTGGCGGCTTCCTTCAGGGGTAGTGATACCAGCGCCTCGCCTGAGACATCCTCAGAATTTGTTCTGAAAGCAAAAGATGTTGGGCATGGTAACGAGCAAACCTCCCGACACACCTCCCCACACCGGCCGCGAACGGGCCCGTGAAAACACCCCTGGCGGCTCTTTTTAGGAGTGCTGAAACCAGCGCCCCGCCTGAGACATCCTCGCAATCTGCTCTGAAAGCCAAGGTTGTGGAGCATGAAAACAAGCAAACCGCATGACATCCCCACAAACTGGCCGCGAACGGGCCCGTGAAAACATCCTGGCGGCTCTTGTAAGGAATGCTGGAACCAGCGCTCCGTCTGAGAAATCCTCACAATCGGCTCTGAAAGCCAAAGATGTTGGGCATGAAGACAAGCAAACAGCGTCAGACATCCCCACAAACTGGTTGCGAACGGGCCCGTGGAAATATTCTTGGCGGCTCCTCTTAGACATCCTCACAATCTGCTCTGAAAACCAAAGATGTTGGGCATGAAAACAAGCAAACCGCGTCAGACATTTTTACAAACTGGCCGCGAACGGGCCCGTGAAAACACTCTTGGCGGCTCCCCTTAGGGGTGCGGAAACCAGCGCCCCGCCTGAGACATCCTCGCAATCTGCTCTGAAAGCCAAGGATGTTGGGTAACAAACGAGCAAACCGCTTGAGACATCCCCACAAACTGGCCGCGAACGGGCCAGTGAAAACACTTTTGGCGGCTCCCTTTAGGGGTGCTGGAACCAGCGCCCCGCCTGAGACATCCTCGAAATCCGCTCTGAAACCCAAGGATGTTGGGTATGAGAAAGAGAGAACCCCCCGAAACATCCCCACAAACTGGCCGCCAACGGGCAAGTGGAAACACCCCTGGCGGCTCCCTTCACGGGTGCTGAAACCAGCGCCCCGCCTGAGACATCCAGAATCTATTCTGAAAGCGAAAGGTGTTGGGCATGGGAACGAGCACACCGCCTGAGACATCCCCACAAACTGGCCGCGAACGGGCCCGTGACAACACCTCTGGCGGCTCCGTTTGCGAATGTGAATATGACTAGGTCTGAGTATGAGCAGGTTTCAGTCCGTGCGTTGAGTAATTCAGAGTATGAGAAGGTTTGAATATGTGTAGGTCTGAGAATGAGTAAGTCTGTGTATGAGCAGGTCTGGGAACGAGTCTGGGTATGAGTAAGTCTGGGTATGAAGGAGTCCCAGCATGAGTAAGCCTGAGTATGAATAGGCTTGCTTTTTGTGTGTTGAGTAAATCGGACCATGGGAACGTATGAGTACGAGTAGGTCTGAGTATGAGTTTGTGTATGGGTAGGTGTGCTCTCGCTGGAGTCGGCGGCGTCCGAGTAATTACTCATTGCGTGGAGCTCCCCATCTGTGCATCTCATGTTTTATGCCATGCCGTAGCGAGCTTGTGCTCATGAGCGTCCTACCCCTGGCGGCTTCCCTTAGGTAGGGGTACTGAAACCAGCGCACCGCCTGAGACACCCTCACAATCTGCTCTGAAAGCCAAGAATGGTGGGCATGAGAATGAGCAAGCCGCCTGAGACATCCCCACAAACTGGCCGCGAACGGGCCCGTGGACACACCCCTGGCGGCTCCCTCTAGTGTGCTGGAACCAGCGCCCCGCGTAAACATTCTCACACTTTGCTCTGAAAGCACAGGATGTTGGGCATGACGACAAGCAAACCGCCTGAGACATCCCCACAAACAGGCCGCGAACGGGCCCGTGGAAACACCCTTGGCGGTTCCCCTTAGGGGTGCTGAAACCGGCGCCCCGCCTGAGACATCCTCAGAATCTGTTCTGAAAGCAAAAGATGTTGGGCACGAACACGAGCACACCGCCTGAGACATCCCCACAAATTGGCCGCGAACGGGCCTGTGAAAGCACCCCTGGCGGCTCCCTCTAGTGTGCTAGAGCCAGCGCCCCGCCTGAGACGTCCTCACACTCTGCTCTGAAAGCACAGGATGCTCGGTATGAGAACGGGCAAGCCGCCTGAGACATCCCCACAAACTGGCCGCGAACGGGCCCGTGGACACACCCCTGGCGGCTCCCTCTAGTGTGCTGGAACCAGCGCCCCGCGTGAGACATTCTCACACTTTGCTCTGAAAGCACAGGATGTTGGGCATGACGACAAGCAAACCGCCTGAGACGGGCCCGTGGAAACACCCTTGGTGGTTCCCCTTAGGGGTGCTGAAACCGGCGCCCCGCCTGAGACATCCCCACAATCTGTCTGACAACAAAGGATGTTGGGCGTGACAACGAGCAGACTGCTTGAGACATCCCCACAAACTGGCCGCGAACGGGCCCGTGAGAACACCCCTGGCGGCTCCCCTTGCCCCGCCTGAGACATCCTCACAATCTGCTGTGTGTTGAGTAACTCAGACTATGAGAAGGTCTGAGAATGTGTAGGTTTGAGTGTGAGTAAGTCTGTATATGAGCACGTCTGGGCATGAGCACGTGCGAGTCTGGGTAAGTCTGTGTATGAGTAAGTCTGTGTATGTGTACGTCTGGGTATGAGGAAGCCTGAGTATGAGTAGGTCTGAGTATGAGTAAGTCTGGGTATGAGTAAGTCTGGGTATGAGTAAGTCTGAGTATGAGTAAGTCTATGTATGAGTACGTCTGGGTATGAGTAAGTCCGAGTCTGAGTAAGTCTGTCCATAAGTAAGCGTGTGTTCTGGGTGTGTTCTTGTTCTCTGGAGTCGGCGGCGCCCAAGACATAACAAGAACCCCATCTTAGGATTTGAGGAACAAGAATAATCCCATCTTTGGATTTGGGGAAATAACGCATACGCATAAGTGTAACAGCGTAAATTCAGTTTTCTCGCGTGGACGTTCCAAGTCCCATGCGCTGCCTTCTTGGGTACATAAGCTGCGTGAGAGCGCGAGCGCGTGAGACTGCGCGCGGCTGTCATTTCTAGTAGGGGCTTCGATGTGGCTCGGACATCGCTACCCTTCGCAGCGAATTTAAATACGCCCACGGACCAAGTCCAGGAGGTACGGCGTGCGTCCAGGAACGGCCCGTCGTTCCGTGAAAGCAGATGCCTTTGCCCACGTTGCTGACCGTTCTCTAACCCGCCCACGCCAACTCCCAAATTGAACAGAGGAGGGACTTTGGGACATGCAGGAAGTAGTTAGGGGGCCACATGCGAACCCTACCCCTACCCCCCACGATTTCTGAGGAGGAGGGTGGGGTTCACTTCGCTCGGGAGCTCCCGAACGAAGTGAATTGTTGATTATTTCTGGGCATCTTTTTAGTATTTCTTGAATAGTCTGGGTATATTTTTTGAGTATTTCTGGGCATCCTGTCTAGTATTCTTTGAAGATTTCTTTGTTTTTCGCCCAAAATCCCCCTGTAGGGGGACAGGCCCGACCTAAGCCTAACCCTTTCGACTTTCCACGGCATCGAGTTCTCATGTTAGACGGCTCGGGCGCGCGGATGGCGCCCAGGGCGACCCTGAAGTGTTCGTCAGCGTTCTGGGAATGCCGCTGCCAAACAGTGTATGTTGCGTTTCCACGACTGAAAGTTTTCAAGTTTTCGCGCGGCAAGAACTTTCCAGGGCGGGAACTGTTAATGTTAGGCTCTGTTGCGTTAACTTTGAACTCTCTGCGCATCGTAAGTTTTTGGCTGCTTGGCTTCTGGGAAGAATTAATTGTTTTCATTCAACATTGATGATTCCATACTGCCCCTGGCCAGTGCCGGCCTAATTCGATTGGTCGCAGGAAGGCGCGCATTCGACGGCAGGATCATGTTTCTTTTCCTCGACCTCCTTTGCATTGTCTTTAATCGTTGCGCCCCACGTTTCGGATCCGCCTTCATTTCCTCCCTCCTCTTCCACCTCTCGGTTGCCACTCGGTTCTCGCCCGTTGTTGGCCTTGTCGGCTACACTTGTTTTCATGGGGCCAGGGGCGCGTGCTCTCACATTTATATATATATATATGTATATATATATAATTATATACCAGCAGCGGTGCGCCCGCGACTGGTATTTGTTATGTTTACGTGCTTGTTCTTCTTTACACGATGTGCAAGCGTTTTTTTTTTCGGAACGGGGACTTGCACAGATGTGTTTGGCAATGGTGATGGCGATCATGGTGATGTCTCGTTTGATGATCATACAGCGGCTAGTGATGTTGGGGATGATTATAATGATGATCATGGTGATGACGCTGGGTGGTGATGGTCGTTATGAGGGTGATGATGATGGTGATGATGGTGATGATTGTTCTGCCGATGGTGGTGATGTGAATGATGCTGGCAATTCATGGTGATTTCCCTCATCGTACAATACCACGAAGGCTCTCTACTCGGGTGGCCCTTGCCATCAATCCGTGCTCCTTCCGCTTCGTCTTCCCAGGGGTAGGCTTGGGGGTCGTTGCGCAGGGAGGAGAAGGGGAAGGCGAGGGGAATGGCGAGGGGAGGACGGGGGCAAAGGGAGGAGTAGTTGGAGGACGTGCGGGGCAGGAGGAGGAGGAGGTGGAGGACTAGGAGGAGGAGGACGAGGAGGAGCAGGACCGCCTCCCCCCCATCACTTCCATTCGGCCTTCTCGCTCTCCGCCCCTGGCCCATTTTGTTCCCCTTTCTCTCCTCTGCCTGCCCCTCATCCCCCTTCGCTCCCTCGAGCTTCCTTGCCGCCCCCCCTCTTGCCACTTCCCCCGCCATCCCCCCCTCCCTCACGGCGTTTCCTGCTCCTGTTTCTCTCCTCCCCCTTTCGTCCTCCGGAGGTGTGAGGGGGCGCAGGCGGCGGCCGGCGCTGACGGGTCGCGTCGGCGATGTTGGGCCCAGTGGGACCGGCGCCGCCAGAACTACAGGGTGCGATGCATGCAGGGCAGCGAGCACTTCGAG